ATCTCTGCAGCAGTGAACAGCCAGCACTGTAAGTCTATCCAGCAGCACGAGATAGTCTTTCATTCACATTCCAGCTTAAGCACAGACAAGTAGATCACATTTGGGACACTCAAGTCATACTTAATTTTGTTCAACACCTTCTTTAGACAACAGCTTTGTCACCAAGACTGAACAACACGTGTGTCATAGAAGACAGTCATTTGCCAGGATTGTCACTGATTCTCTCAAGATAAAAATAATAAAGCTGTAAGTGCAAGTAGCAGAGGCTGCCTAATTGTCAGCTGTATAAAATAGCAGTATCAAGATTATTGTCCTGAGGGCAACAACAGTTTAAGAGGAATAGAAAGATGCTGCAACCTGTTTTGAACTCTACAGGAGCCAAAATTTGAAGAAAACAAATGAAAACTTACTGCATGTTACAAAAAACTACTGCAAATTTGCCAGAGATCCAGGAGAGAAAACAAACCTAGGGGGAGACCTGAACCCTATTTAACAGAAAGAAACTGGATGATAGATGAACACAACCAAAACATCCCGGACAGCACAGGCAAAACATTTACCCCAGAATCCTTCCTATCCTCACACATCTGAATATAAAATAAACAGCAAAAGTGAGCTCCTCTAACTGTGGAACTTACTGCTTGAAACCTGAAAACTATTATTTAAGTGACAGTGGTGTTCCAAACCCCCTTTTTCTGGGCAATAAATGATTATAATGAAGCTGAAGTAAGAACAGCACTTCTTCACACAGTGTAAGAGACTCCCAACACAGATTATGTTGGTGCTTCCTTAGGCTTAACAGGCAGACCAAGTTGAAGGGAACCTTGCTGCCACTCGCTGGGACAAGCACTCAGAAGGTATCCACGTCCAGCATCAGCAGTCACTATTAACACTTACTGCTTGAATTATGGCTGCAGGCTAACCTTTGAGAAATTGATAGTGACAGCAAACCTGAGACTTTTTTTTTTTTTCCCCTCTTTAAATGACAGGTTGGGAAGCTTAGATTCTCCCCCTTCTTTCTGGGAAGTGAGGGGTAAGGTCTAGCTCCTCTAGTTTTAAAAATCACTATACTGACACACACCTCCCCAGTTCTGCTCCACATGGCTACTGGCACAGCTTAGCCTGTTTTCCAACCAGCTGTCAGATTGCTAAATTTTGGTCAGGTTTGAAAAAGAAAAGGGAGAAAAAAAAAGGAGAGAGAAAAAACGCAGCATCACCCTGATAACTGAGTAGATGTAATCAGGCGGGGGGAACTATTTCACAGGGAGAACAAGTCTTACTTCTGTCTCAAAAGCTGAAAAGACAGCCAACATAGAATATATTCTCCTGATAAAAACTAGAAAGCAGTGCAACAGTAGCACAACCCTCCACTTTCACCACAGCCAGGTAGTCCATAGGGAAGAAAAAAAAAAGCTTCTTTTACCCTCTGACCCAACACACATGAAGATGGTCCAAGAAGCAGCTTAAAATCTGACACCTACCAGTGATAAACTAACACAAAAGTCCTTACTCAAGACTGAGAGGTAATACCCACTCACTAGTCTGGGTACCTTCCGAGAAGTGAAGATGATGCCAAGGTTTGGGAAAAGGTGCTTCCCACTAACATGTTGCCTATGGGCTTCACTGGTGAAGACACATTTCTATCTGCAGCACATTCCAATAAAATTTTAAGCTACAACACAGGCACACAGCTATATGTTTGAGAGAAACACGTCTGTATTTTGGCACGTAAATACCTGAATTCAGCATCATAAGCCTTACGGCTGCACAAGGCCACTGTCCAGTATTCCATTCTATAAAAATTACTAAAACGTCAGCGACAAAGAAATTTTGGTTGCAATGCACAATGTACATTTTTATCATGCTGGATAAAATATCTACAGTCTCAGCAGTGGTTAAATTGCTGCTATAAAGGAAATTGTCCTCAGATAAATGGTTTCCCTATGAGAAGGTTTCAGTGCTACACCTCACCCCAGGTCAATAAATCAAATTAACTGCACCTTGTCCTCTGGCCAATGACATCATCGGCTTGACCACATCTCGTGAAGCGAGTGCAAAAACATATGCTATTTAAGGCATGAAATCATATTACTGCTTTTTGTCCAGCCAGCCTTGTGCTGTTGGTCTGTGAAACAGTCAGTCACCTGAACAGTCTCATTACTGCTTCTACAGATTTTTTTTTTTCCTTCTAGTATTCAAGGCCTGTCTTCGCCAAGGGTGAAGAAAGAAAAAGGATAAATAATCTGAGTCGTTACTTTCTAAATCAAAATGCTTTTCATTAGCTGCAGCACAGCATTTTGTGACAAATTAAATTTAGAACCAAACTACGGAATCTGCCGTCTGCACTCGCACGTGAACTCTCTTCCCAGTCGCTTCCCAGTCGCGTTTCAGAGATGTTTACATGCTAATCTGGCACTGCTACTCTGAAGTACCCTGCTGTTCGGTCCTTTTTCTCCACAGGGTGAAAACAATGGTCACTAATGAAAACCTACACAGTTTTATCTGAAACCCAGCCCTGCATAAATATTTCCCTTTTATAAATTACTGCCTCTTTTTTCTAAAGTAGCCCATTTGTTTTATTTCTAAGTAGACTAATATCTGGTTTAAAACTGAATTACTCCAGACCATTTAAGAGGATTAATTTCAATTTTCACTTGGTGTTCTTATGACACAATCACAGAAAACTTATCTTCCTTTCTAGACCCTGTGCTGCCTAGTGGTATCTTCTGTCTTGAAAGCCAAATCTAAATGAAAGGGGAAAAAAAAAAGAAACCAACCCAGAACAGTCAAAGATACAAGCAGCGACAAAAGCATCTGACACACTGCACTGTTAAACTGCAACCACATTAAGTAAAAAGAAGGTGAATAAGATTATCTTCAATGTATTCAATTCTGTTTGTGTTCAGAGGGAGGAGGAAAGCTGTTCAGATTTTGAGTGTGTCTTCTATAGCTTTCTCAGTGCCAGGAAACGTAAATTAGAAGCAACTCTCCTTTAAGGAAAAGAATCAAGGACAAAGGGACCAAAAATGCCCAAGCCTCTGAAAAGCAGATATGAAAGGAACAGCTTTACAGTCTTGAGTTGCTATAAATTAAAAATAAGCTCCTTATTTAAAAGACATGAGTGTTTGAGAATCTATGAGCAGATCTGATGCTGCTCAGGCCCCAGGAGGGTTTTGTTTTTGCTGGCAGGGGTGGAGTGGAGATGGGGGGGTCATTTTGGTTATTAGTAAATAAATCAAGCAGCAGAGTGAGGCCTAGGCGCTTGCCAGAGGAGCCAGGGCCTGGCTCTCCCCCTCCTCTCCTCACACAGCCTGGGTTTGATCTCGGGGCCCTGTGGGTTTGCCAAGAAAATTTAAAAAAAAAAAAAAAAAGAAAGCGAGAGAGCGAGAAAGAAGAATCATATTGAACCACAAAAGCACATGGGGCGAATGTAAAATATAAACACGGCGTTGGGCTCTGAGTGGCTGTTATTAAAGGTCTGAATTACTAAACATGAGAGGCGGGGAAAGCCAGGCGGCCATTTCAATAATATAAACCTCCCCGAATTAGACATTATTCAAATGAGAAGGAGAGAGAGAGAGGGAGAGAGAGGGAGAGCGCGGGGGAGAGGGACGGGACCGGCACCGCCGTGCCCTGGGGGGCTCCCCCGGAGCCCGCGGGCAAAGGGGGCAAGGGGCAATCCCCGCCGGGGCACATCCAGCCCTGGGGGGGCACATCCAGCGCTGGGGGGGTGCAGATCCAGCTGCAGGGGGCGGGGGACAAGCACAGCCCTGGGGGAGGTGCAGATCCAGCCCTCGGGGATCCCGAGGGGCACGGGGGGGCTCTGCCCGCGCACCCCCCGATCACCCCCCACCCAACCTGCCCCTTAAGGAAAGGGGAGGGGAGGGGAGGGGAGCAGGGGGGAAGGAGGTTTAAATAAAAAGCCGAACCACGCCGTGCTCCTGCCCCCCTCCCCGCACCCACCCACCCCACGCTGCAAGGCCCAGGCTCTGGGGAAATAACCCCGGCTGGGGACGGGGGGCTGCGGGGGGGGGCGGGGGACACAAGGAGACGAGCGATAAGGAAACCGCGGGTTTCTGCCTCGCCCGGCCCCAGCGAGGGGCAGCACCCCCGGCCCCCTCCGCCCTGCCGCCGGGGGGACCCTGCCCCGCTCACGGGGACCCTCCGGGACCGCTCCTCCAGCATCCCCCCAAACCACCCCCCCCCGGCTCTATGAATATGTAAAGCGGGTTTATTGTGGGCGTGCGGGCCGGGTGGCGGCCGAACCACCCCGCGAACGCTTTTGGGTGCGGGGCTGCCTCCCCCCTCCCTCCCTCCCGGCGCGTGTGTCCCCCCCCCACGGCTCCCTCCCCTCCCTCCCTCCCGCCCCGACCCCTCCGCCTCGCCGCGCCGCCGCCGCCCATCGCCCCCATGGCCGGTGCCCCGGCGTGCGGGCTCCGTGTGCGGGAGGGACCGTGTGTGTGTGTGCGTGTGTGTCTCCCCAGCGCGGGGAGCCTGCTCTGCTTCTGCTTCTCCTTCTGCTTTCCCCCCCCCCCCGCTCCCTCCTGTGCCGTTAATTATAATAATCCTGAGTACTAATAAATTATGCTAAGCGGGGCCGGCCGGGCGGGCGGGGGGGGTGGTGGTGGTGGGGGGGGAGCGCCCCGCGCGCGCGAGTATGAATATGAATATGTAAAACGCAGTAATGATTACCTGCCGCCGCCGCCACCGCCGCCGCCGAACTCTCATCTTGACTCGCTGCTCCTCCGTCCGCCATTTTGAATATTTTAACCAAAAATCGGCCGCGCGATAAACCCTCCCCCCTCCCCTTCCCCCTCCCTCTCTCCCTCCTCCTCCTCCTCCCTCCCCGCGCCCGCCGGCGCCGCTCTGCGCATGCGCGCGCGGCGCCCCTCTCTCCCCCCTCCTCCGGCCGCTTCCCCGGCAAGGGCGCGGAGCGGCCCCGCGCACGCGCAGAGCGCGGCGGACCAGCTTGTTCCCCCCCCGCTCCTCCCGCCCCGCCGCCGGCGCGTGCGCATTGGGGGCTCCCCCGCGCGCCCCCTCAGGGTACGGGGTGGTCCGACCCCCCCCCCAAAGATAAAGGTCCTCCCCGTAGTCACTGGGGGTTTTGTGGTGGTTAAAATCTAGCTGATCTGTAGGGGACAAAATTAATGTTTTGGGGGGTTAAACCTGAGTTAATCGGTAAGGGAGAGAATGGACACACTGAGGTGAAAATGAGGTGGTCAGCAGTGGACGGGAAGGGAGAGAACGGGCGTTTTGAGGTAAACTGAGGTAATCAGTAATGGAAAGGGAGAATTTTAGGGATAAAACTTGAGAGAATGAGCGTTTTGAGGTAAACTGAGGTGATCCGTAAGGGAAAGGAAGGGAGAATTTTGGGTGTAAAACTTGAGGAGAAAGAATGGATGTATTGAAGTAAAATGAGATAATCTGCAGTGGAAAGGAAAGGAAAATTTTAGAGTTAAAACCTGAGGAGAGAGAATGTACGTTTTGAGGTAAACTGAGGTAATCAGTAATGGAAAGGGAGAATTTTAGGGATAAAACCTGAGAGAATGAACGTTTTGAGGTAAACTGAGGTGATCCGTAGGGGAAAGGAAGGGAGAAATTTAGGGGTAAAACTTGAGGGGAGAGAATGGACATATTGAGGTAAACGGAGGTAATCAGTAGTGGAAAGGAAGGGAGAATTTTAGGGGTAAAACCTGAGGGCAGAGAATGAACGTTTTGAGGTAAACTCAGGTGATCAGTAGTGGAATGGAAGGGAGAACTTTAGAGGTAAAACCTGAGGGGAGAGAATGGACATTTTGAGGTAAACTGAGATAATCAGTAATGGAAAGGTAGGGAAAGTTTTGGGGGTAAAACTTGAAGTCATCTGTAAAACAACAGGAGTATTTTGAAGGAAAAATCGGAGGTAATCTTTAGGGGCAGAATGAACATTTTGGGAATAAGGTAAATGTAGTCATTGGGGTTTTATGGTGGTTAAAATCTAGGCAATCTATAGGAGACAAAAATTATATTTTAGGGATAAAATCTTAAGGTAATCTGTAGGGGAGAGAATGAACATTTTGAGGTAAAAATTAAGTAATCAGTAGTGGACAGGTAGGGAAATTTTTGGGGGGTTAAAATTAAAATAATCTGCATGGGGGAGGCATCTGGCAGGAGTTTGTCTGTGAACAGGTGCTCCAAAGGTGCTGTCTCTGTGTGTGTCTGTGAGTGGTGGTGTGGAAATACCTGTCCAAACTGCACCCACACCCAGGTACAGCCCAGACCCTGGGCAGAACCAAGCCCCTGTGAATAAAGAGGGATTGTTTCCAGGAAAATGGAATCACAGAACTTGCAGTCCCTGTGGAGGAGGGTGGGCGCCTGGGTGGGGGGTCTGGTTTTCCTCCAGAAGAGAGTGATTGCACCAAAGTGATTCCCCTCTGTTAGGAAACCCGCTGTAAGATCCCCTCGTTCCGGGCAGCACAATGCTCCTGGGATGCTTTTCCCAAATATTTTATCCTCTTACACTTCCCGCATCAAATTTTGACTGTCCTGGAAGGGGAGTCGGGTTTCATGTCTCCCTCGTTAAAGGGGAGCAAATAAGAGACCAGAGGGACCAACAAATAAAATCAGCTTTAGATTCAAAACTTTCAAATCAGGACAAGCAATCAGCCAGAGTGGCAAAACTTCTAATTCTCGACAGATTTAGCCGAGTAAAAATAAAATGTGCTTACATTCTTAATACTGCATGTTATCCCTGAGCTTTGTAATGTGCATTCAGAAAAAGAAGAAACGGAGGGTGATATAGAGTGGCATTCATTAAGGACATGGTCTTAATGTTTTCTAAGAGTCATTAACTCCAACGGGTCAGAGTCCAAGCCAGATTTCCTTCTGGGGCTAAAAACGTTGAGGAGTGAGAGGAACTGTCAGGGATCTGTTCTTGCATGCTGTAGCTGAAGAAATAACGAGTCGTATCAGAGGCAGTCACTAGATTTTTTTTTCAGTGTTAGGGAAGAGCCAGAAAGGAAAGGCTGAAGGAGAGAGGCAGCAGGGTTTTATCTCCAAGGGGTGAATCAGCAAGGTAATTTTGTCATTTTTATTTAAAAATAAGTTCCTCCGATAATGGGATTTTTTTTCTTGCCATACTATAAAATAACCTCTTCTTATTGCAGAGAACACTAAGAGAAATGAGGAGTGTGCTGTGAAAGAGCAAAAGCCTTCCCCTAACACCGATTCTTACTCATGCACATTCATTTGATGATACTCTACACCAGCAATTAAGCACTTTGTCTCGTGCAGATCTGTGTTTCACTCACAGGAGTGAGCATGTAAACAAAGGCATATTGTCGTGCTCCTCTTCAGTTCAGCCATGATCCTCGCGGGCCAGTTAATCCAGTTTTATGGCCAGGTTATACCAGCACTGCAGCACGCAGGGGCTGCACCAGGACAGATAAAGGTGTAGAGAAAGGGCTGCCTAGATTAAGACTCTGCACAGCTCTAATCCTGCCTACGCTGAATATTCTCTCCCGTATCTCCCCATCTCACCCAAAGACTCCTCTCAGTCCTGCATGCCACTTCCCAGTAACCTCCTCCCTCGTAGCAGCAGCTTCTCGCTGGGGAGAATTTGCTCCCATTACCACACCTGATTTAGCCTTTGCTCTCGCTCAGCTTCTGCACAGTTCGCTGGAACCCACAGCTGCTGAAGAAAAGATGTCTGAAAACAAGTAGTTGCTGGTGGTTTGGGTTTTTGTCTGTGTTTTGTTGTTTTTTGTTTGTTTGGGGTTTTTTTTTTGCCTGGTAGTTCACAGTTACTAATCCGCTCTGTGTTTTGGAATTGACCAGCTATAAAGAGAACTTAATTCACTTTGGCCACATAGGTGCTCTCCCTCTCTCTATAAAGATTACTCTGGATCTGTGTCTGCATCCTCTCCTCTAGTTCTCTTTGAATGCATCTCTATCTGATGCCTTCCCCAAGGTGTCATACATCCCTGTGGCTATATATCCAGGAAAGCTGGCCAAATCATTAGTGATGAATAATTTATCAGATAAATTTTACCTCTCTTTCAATTGTGAGTGCCACATAGTGCCTGACTGGTGTCTTACTCATGAGCAACTTGCTAGAAATACTTGAAATTTGAGATAATTGGACGCAAGGATGACACAAAGCTTAGCCTTATGAGAAGCTGAGCACTTTGGATTCATTTCACAAAAAGACGTAAGTAGGAAACCGAGTTGTTCAGCTGCAGCCAGCGAGACTGGGCTCACAGTGGTGGTTAAGAACATGCTTACATCCTCTGCTGAAACAGAGCCCAAAGCAGCCAGGGCCGTGCAGGACTCCGTGTTTCCGTTCTCTGACTGGACTTGTCAGCCTCATAGAATGGCCTCTTGCAGGGATTTTGCTTTAAAAAGATATTCTGGCAGTGAAAAGCAATACAGTGCTCAAAATCAACACCATGCATAAAGGGAAGAAATGGTATTTGAGGATCTTTTAAAGCTCTGCAGCATATCTGTGTCCATTGTTTTGATGTTGATCCAGATACCTCCTAATTCCCAGCCCTCCTTGGCCTGCTTGACTTGTTCCCATAACACCAAATTTTCTGTGATTGCTATGACCTTCTGAATTTTCTATCTCCTGTTAGAATTAATTCAGTAGTGTTTCAGAGACAATTTTTTTTTAAGGTAGGGAGGCCGGGGACAAAAGAAACACAAGGTGGGAAGGCAGGGGGCAAAAGAAACACAAATTGCAATATTTAAGCAAAAAGCACACTAGGAAGGAAATTATCCTTTCCCCCACGCAGCTCTAGTGTATAAGGAAATTAAGAACAAACTTATCTGCTCTGCTCCAATTCCACCGTGCTGCTCAGATGGGAATCCCAGATGCTGCTTTTCTCACACGGTGTCCCCCTTCTCTCTGTCCTGTTCACATCAGATTTCTCTCCTCCAAGAGGGCCTGTCTCTAGAATCATGTTTGCTTCAGCTTTCCTTTTGGTCCTGCAGATACTTAACAGAGGCTTCTGCCTCAGGATAGTTGTTCTTTGCCCCTTATGTTTTCATGCATACCTCCCCCAAACCTCTCTGTGCCTTTCACTTGGAGACTGCACAGATTGTCTCACTGTTAATGGAATTTTCTGTATGTTTCTGTCTGTTTACCTGACAGAGTGACCGCAGTCTCCCTGTTAGTCTCATTTTTTGAGCACGCTATCGATAGCAACAGCAAAAAACAGTCTGTGTCTCAATAAGCTTCCAATTTAGAGACGTGGCAGGGAATGAACGAGGGAAAATTAGTATTAGTACCTTCTTGATGGAGGAGAAGTGAAGAAAAGCAATATAAGGACCATGTGTAGTCCCCTCCAGTGTCACAGTAGATATAGCAGGACCCAGACTTGCACCACGTGCTCTGTGCATTGCAGCACTTTAACCACAAAGCTGTTTTTCCTTTCTCTCCTGCATTGTTCCCTGCCCTCCTCCTGTTCCGACAGTCCACCCTCGTGCCCGAGGCTTGGGACCCACCATCCCGTCTCTTTCCAGTATTATGCTCTTCCCCCTCTTCAGATCTCCTTCCTACACACCTTGTGCGTGCTGAGCACGAACAGCAGAAGAGAAATGGAGACTGTCCATTGCATAGATTGGCTGGCTTTTTTCCCTCTGCACACTGTTCTGGCTGCCTTTGACCAGATTGCTTTCTAGCTCTGGTTCTGCCCCTATTCTGTTGTCTCTGGACTGGAGAAAGGATGGCCCTGAATCTGTTATTTCTGAGAGTTGTTGCTGATCCTCTGAAGCTCTCAGATAATAAAATTGTAGCAGGAAAGTTGTACCATCTCATAATACTCTGCCCCTCCCAGGTGCAGCTAACTGCTTTTTTGGAGATAAGAAATGGAGCATGGACGAAAAGAAGCATGTTTTTCATTTTCATATTTAAAAAAAGCCCCTTAATTCAGAACCTTCACACATCCTCAGGAAAGGGAGAGGTAATTACTAAGAGGACACTTATCTTTTCAGGTGGGTTTTTCAATCTATTTCTCACTCTCTGCTGCTTTGGCTGCACTTACTTTAGCTCTATCTCAGTTTTTTGTATGCATTTCAATGGTTGTCATCAATGCAGCTTCTGAGCCTTCCAATTTTAACCAGTTACGTCTTACAAATCACCAGCTTAGAAGATTCAGGAAATTATTACTGTGCTTTTTTAGCAACGATAAACTAAGGCAGAGAAATTAAGGAACTTGTCTTCAGTTGCATATGTGGCTGGGCAGCCCAAGAAGAGGAGCCCCCATTTCGATCTGTTGTGCCTTGATTGAAGGACCCTGTTCAGTTTGTCCTTGTTCCTCTCCTGGAGATCCACAAGGCTGTCTCTGTCTTTACCTGTCTCTGCTCCCAGAGGGACAACAGTGGGGTCCTACAACTTGATTCAGATCTCTAGGGCAGTGGGATTTGCAATTGCCTGATTCAAGTTGCCACTCAAAACTGTCACAGATCTGCTTTCACTGGGTTTCTCTGCCTCCCCTTCCTACAGGGCAACCCTTAAAAATGCAAAATATTTTTTGTTACAATGATTATTAACTAAGACTTGGTAAAACCTCAGACACTACAGTCTGACAAACTCCAGGCAGAAGGGCAAATTCTGTTTTGTACCCATTTGAAAAAAAGAGGCCTGTACTCCTCTTTTTGTCCAGCGTGCTTTCTGCTGTGGACCTTGGGAATGCCTTGGTGCTGCTTACATGAGGAACCAAATTGTTACTGACCTCAGTGAAGAGGGGGCCAAGAGGGACACATCTGACACCTTTTAGCAACCGCAAGGTTTTCTGTAGAATAGACACAGCCTATGAAACAAACACACAGCTGGAGTTGGGGTGCTTTTGAAAACATTGTCTTTATTCTCTACCTCCCTTTCTTCCAGGACAGCTCCTCACTTATTCCCTCTTCAGCAAGGGACTTTTCTGTCACGCAGCCTAGCCTGGCTGGAGATTAGGGATTCTCTCTGCCCCTTCATCCTTGAATATTTCCTTTTAATTTCACAGTTTAAATTTCAATTGTGTAATTACATTCTGCCTACCCCAAATTCCTCTGTAATTTCAATTGGACACGGTGTCCTTCACTCTCTAGGCAGAACTCTTGCAGTGCTGTGGGGCACTGTTAATAGGCTGCCACGCTCCACTCTAGTCCCATTTCATGTAAATGGGGAAAGAGAATGGACCTGGATCCCTTTGAACTAAAACTGCTGCTCCATATAGGCGAGACAGGGGTTGCTACAGAGTGACAAGGCAGTCTTACCCCATAGCAATACACTGGGCAGTTTTTACAATGCCTCAGTCTGAAGAGATTTTTGGAGTAAAAGTCTAAATCTGTCTAGAAGTATTTCTCCCCCACAACACCATACCCTTTGATGGCAAATAAAGCTGTACAGGGACCCCCAAACCACTACTTCACTGAATTTATGTGGCCTGAGAGTACCTGCTCGCACCGTTTAACATGGCAGAAGTGCCATAGTGATTTAATTTAGGTCCGGGGAGTTGAGTAGCAATGAGAGGGCACGTGGCACAGATGCCTAGTTCAGTAAAACGCTTTACAAGAACTGGCAAGTCCCGTGCATACACAAACACTTGCATATTTTGTTGTGACAGCATTTTCCCCCAGTCCTTGCCCTGGTGGCGATCACCTGACTCCCGCATCCCAATTGGTTTTATCACAAAATTCCCTTTTTGGGTGTTGGTATCTACTTTACATCAATGTGAAAACATTTCTGCTTCTCCTGCCTCCTCTTGCTTCCTCCTTCCCTCCTCGCTGTGGCACAGGTGATTACTTGGTCAGTGTGCCTGTGTGCAGCCCTTCAGGTGTCAGAGACATTCATCTTCTGATTTCCACCCCCTTCTGCTGGAGTCTTCTGTGGAAACTCAGGGTGGAGAAGGGGAGGGACCACGTGTTGGTGGGAGAACGCTCCTCCTTTGCCTTGTCTTGTAGAACAAACTCCCTCTCTTCCTTCAAGTTCTGTGGCAGGCCCATGGAAAGGAGTTGTTCACCTGGTTTGAAGTGATGTTCTACGCAGCTCAGCAAAAGGGATTGGTTTACTGTAGAAGCTGGAATTATTTGATGTTTGATCACCTTCAGCCACAAGCCATGTAGTTTTCATCATATGTACACCATTGTCAGAGGAACACGAGGCTGATTCCATAATTGGCAACAGAATCCTTTACCAGAGTTTATTTCCCTTCACTGCAAGAGTACCCTGGGTAGTCCTCCTACCAGGCAATGATAAATCTTAACTCGAAATAAGCATCCAGCTCCTTGCTGGCAGTGCTGTATCTACACAGAACCTCAGTTACTTTGAATTTTGATGGATCTTACGCTTTATATATTCCAGACGTTTGGTCCTGCTCCCAAGGGATGTCTTTATGCCTGCTCCCGTGTTGGCAGACCCGAGGCTGCTGTTTGTGTCTCTAACAGCAGATAGATCAGGTGAGATCAAGGAGACCATATTTCCATGTTTCCTTGGTTAGCTTACACTGTTAAAAGTGAGTTGTTGTTAGGAGGAAACAGAGCATGTAATAACTTGAGTTGGGTTTTATTTGGCTTTGAGTCATAAATCTTAAAGGAAAGGAAAGAGCCATCATGTTCATCCCCAAGTTTGTCATACAATCAGCAAGGGGCAAGGCAGTAGTGTGGGCAAGAAAATGAAACATGTGAAGGTACAAGTGCCAGCGGGGGGAAGTCACTGTTGCTTATTGTCAGTTTTGGTGTGACACAGAAAGTTCAGCTAATCCTCTTAGTTACAGAGACACACGGGTGGGGGGAGATTGTTATCTCAAGCAATTTGCTGGCTCTACTCCTTTTTTCCTTCGAGTTTCTTTTCGCCTAATTGAGCAGCATTTCTTCCTGGGACTGGTTTGCAATAATCCTGGGGCCTCATCTGGGAAAACACTGAAAAATATAGAAGGGAGAATCAGCCCGAGCGAGGCAGCTTCTATCACCATGAGTTTCTGTCTTCAGAAAGGTATCAGGTTTGGCTCCAAGTGCCGAGGATTAAAAATAAGATAAAGATTCAAAGCGATATAGAACAGTCTGTTGATCAGGGCAAGTAATCTCTCAGAAATAGTATCTCATCCATGGGCTAGAGGGACAGGTAATTAACAGCCGTTCAGAAAACCAGGACCTTGGCGGTCTGAGGGTGGAGCAGGGGGTGAGAATTCCACTGGAGTGCATCAGAAATGTGTTGATTCCATTTTCATTGCCAAAGGGATGTATCTGTGGTAAATCTAATCAAGAGTCAAAAGGTGAACAAGAACAATAATAACTGGGGAGGTTTGTTTTTATTTATCCAGGAGATAAGGATTCAACTACAGGAATAGAATGAGAAAAAGGTGCCTCTTTCTGAGCAGACAATTATTCCACCCACACTTACTCATCATCAAGGTGTTAATATTCTATTCCTAAGGCTATTTAACAGATTCTCAGCCTCAAGGCTGGTAATGTTTGTGCAGTTACTCTGCCAGTTGCCACAGGTGTCTTTTTACAGAAGACTTGAATAATTAACATGGGATAGTCCCGAAGATGGCAGTAGCCAGGAGCCATTCTTCAGGAGACTCCCAGCGTTCTTCCTGCTGCTGAGCAGGGTTGGTATTACCAGCAGGAGGACACATTTGAAAACCCTGTTTCCATATGCAGACAGAGCCTTAGTCCCTGAAGGCACAGGCTGTTTCCAGGAAAATAAAGGCTCTGGTTCCCAAGCCCTAGTGATTCACCCTGGAGAAGTTTAGGATATCACTGTTCTGCATTACTGAGGTGCTGGAGGCAGCTGTCCCAAAGAAGAGGTGGCCCAGTGAATGCTGTGGGCAGTGCAAACTGTTTCAGCCCTGAGCCTGATGCACTCATGTAAATCTGATTTCAGCTGATACCAATTTGCGGTGATGTCCTGGACTGAGAACTGCAGACACGAGTGATTTAATTCAAGATCATATCAATGTATTTTGCTGTGGTGGCTAAAGAATTTATTACCTCTAGCTGTGGAGATGGGTTACCCTTTCAGTTAGGGCAGCTAAACCCAGCAGGGACTGTCAGAGCCATCAGATGAGAGAGAAAGGGCCAGAGTGGACATCAATCGCAAAGCAGTTGTAAAATAAGTAGTATAGTGGTTTTAAGAGAAAAGATGTTCTGCTGATGTCCTGCCAGCACAGAACAAGGAAGTGAGGAGTTTGGTATGTACATCATATCTAGACATTCTTTTTGACTTTGCTTAAGTTCTTCAGCCTCCCTCTAGTGTTGGCTAATCCAGGGCTTTGGAACCCCTCTGGGCTCACAGGCCCAGGAGCCATGCCTGGATCTGGGCTGTGACACAAACATGGTGCCTGTTGCTGGTTTCCAAACAAAGGAAATGCCAAGGCTGGATCAGACAAGACTCACAGCATGTTCCACCAGCTTTCTGACTCAGGTACGTGGAGAATGAGGGCCCCAGCATGTGCTGTGCCTTGTAGCACCAGGTCACTTTGGTATGTCCCTGCTGCACACCGTAGGTAATAACTGCATTTCCTTATTTCATTCCGTATTGTGAGAATAAATGCATTCATAAATGTAATTACCAGATGCTACAGAGGTGAGGGCATCTTTGGTGGATTTCTTTTAGTTCTTTTGTTTCTTTAAATACATCGGTAAAATTTGATCAAAACTAGTATTTGCTTTTCTAAGCTGTACTAATTTATGGTCAGACTGTGTGTGGGAGCAGGGGCAGGAAGAAAGGAACATGTACTTGTGCTACGTGTGACCAGCACAAAGCCGCCGGACCATGAGAAACACAGGGAATGCTCTGCGGCGACTTCTCTGGGAGTCTGCAGTGCTTCACAAAGCATAAGGAACAGTATGGACAGGGCAGGAACTGCTGGATTCGTGGACCTGTCTCTTCCCTCTGCAGGTCTGCACAGCCAGCTAGCGACATTCAGGACTATACCATGCTCTCTAACCCTCTCAGTGAGCGTTTCAGTCTGTAATGCTGAAAATATATGGAAGTCGTATGTTTTCTAGCAACAGATAATGCTTTCTGAATCCACTTCTGTAGCATTAGGCTGCAGCTCTCACAGTGAGATAGCATTCACAGTAGCAGAGACCATGAAGAAATTAGAAATTTATAAAACGCATACAAAATAAGTTTTAAAAATACGTTTTATAAATATTCTTGTAGTTACATTTCAGATAGATGAGTGTTAAGATTTCTGTTAATCTGAAAATTAATGTCTAAAACCACGGGAAGAAAAAGACAGAATTGCAGCTGAATATCATGAATGAAAAAACATTTACCACTGTGAATAGGACCATATTTCCCAATAGCAGATCCCCGTCCTCCCCTAATTCCCCCCTCCCTTTCCCCTCCTTCCTCAAACACATACGCATGCACTATGGGAGGAATGACAGCTGTTCTTCATGGAATGACAGCCCAGGGATATTGCATCCTCCCTTAAAAAAAACCAGGCAAGGTACAGAATAAGGTCAGTGAAGGGAGACAAAGGGGTCTCCCAGAGATGGCAAAGGGTAATTTATTGACAGATGAGATAGACGTTACTACAGAAAAATATTAAATGGATTCTTTTCCCCTGTCTTTGGAAGGGGAGAAACGTGGGAAGGGTTAGGAAGGACAGATGCCAGAAATAGAGACAAATTTCCCAGGAGATGAAGAAGAAATCCTGAAGGAAATTAGGATCACAGCACAGAAAAAAAAATTAAAAAGAAAAAAAAATCAGAGCATTTAAAAAGCTATGAAATTCTGTCCTAGAATCCTGTATGGAAACAACAAAAAAGGGCAGCGGGGAAGGAACCCCACCACTGTTGGCGGCCTCGCTTCAAAGGCGCGCCGTGAGAGAAGGAAGTGCTGGTAAAACAGCTCCTGATTAAAAGCCAGTGTTTGAAAAGGGCTGTCGGGAAATTACAGAGCTGTGCATGCCCCCGACGTCAGCAGCGAGGAAGACTCTGGGAGCACTAATCAAAGGGAGGCTGAGGGAGCATATGGAGCATGGAGATTTTATTAAGGGCAGGACTGAGACAGGGTTCACATAATGGGAGCAGCCGAGATCAGGAGCTGGGAGGAAAGGAAAGGCCAGGTCTTCTGGTGCAATAAACTGGCATAGCGCTGTCAACTTTGACAGTGTGTCAGTTCTCGCTGCAAGGAAAGAGCCCGAGTGAGAGGCTTCAATAGTGGATGTTATGAATACAGTTTCCCTGGCCTACAGAACTTTCCCCAAAATAATTGCACAGAGGAGGGCAGGAAAAGCCAGTGTACCAGCACACTCTGGTTGGGGTTCTGTAACTCCACGTTACCCTCGGCCAAGTGCGTGTTCCTACAGCTTGTAACGTTAGAAGGGTTCATGATTTTCACCTGTCAGGACCAGGCTGACAACAGAGGAGTCACCAAGGCAAATTTGCACAAAGATAAAAGCAGCAGAACAAAAGAAATTTGAAGGAGAACAGATTTAATTGACATTCACAAGCAGGAACAGATTTAAGCCAAACAGTATTTTATTCTGCTCCTTCGTGCAAAGGAACGTGGTTTTCACAGTGTGTAACTCAGTCCGTATGATACAATAAGGGAACAGGAAGACTCTTAGTGTGTCCATTGTAATGTGCCACATGCAATATCTTTATAATCCTGTCACTGCCTGCATAATTCTTGGCAAGACCTTTCCCTCAGAGCAGGTTCTTCTGCCCAGTAGCTAATCTCACCCGAAGCCACACTAGCCCTCCCATTCCAGCAAGCACACTGATCTTACAAGATGGTCTCTTACCACGGGCAGGTGCAAGTCCAGCAGAAGCACAGGGCATTGCATTGCCCTGTGTTGACACCTGCCTGCTTTCCAAACTGAGAGTCAGGCTAAAAAGCCACAGAATTAATACTAAACACAGATTTTAAATGATCCAGATGGGGAGCATTCATCCCATCCCCGTAACTGCCATGCTCACGGCTGAAGGGAATAATAGCCAGGCTACACTGGATTTGAAGCTTTGATACTCCAGAGGCATTTGCAATCTTTTGAGCCTTGGGAGAGGGAGTAGGACAAAGCAAAAAAAAAAAGCCGTGGTTCTGCTGGGTTTTGCTGTTAAATGCTAAGGAAGTGCTAAATGCTAAAGCAGGCTCGTACTTCCAGTGGGTGATTTAGCCCAGCTCCCTGCTGGCTGGGAGGCTGCCGCGTGCTCAAGTGCAATCTGCCACACCGAGCCAGAACCAATCTGATTGTTTCTGAATCATTTCTCACACAGAAAAACATAAGTAAAGCTGCCGGTTTTGCCAGGAATGTACATCCCATCCATGTGATGGCCTGTATTTATATTTGAAGCCACCTGTACCATCAGCGTGACCCAGATGTAAAAGATGATGGAAGCCCTATAAAATTCAGTGCAGCATATTTTAGGGACAGACTGCAATTATACTGGATTATAATGGATAAACATGAATGAAGAAATTCTCCCCAGCCTATGCTGACAGACCTGAAGTTACCTTCAGTTCTTACACCAACCTTATCCACGGACAAGACAGAGCCCATAAGCAGCAGGTGACCATAATCAGAGAGTGGCCTTTTTCAACTCAGCAGCTCTGTGTTCAGAAGACAATGCTTTAACTCACGGAGAGAACCTGAATCTAAGTCCAAGGAAGTGTCAGGCTCTTTCCCTGTGCCGTTGATTATTCTGTTAAAGAGTCCCAAATCAACTATTTCCTTTTGAATTGATTATTTGAGTATTGTCTGGGCCAGAAAGGCACGGCACACCTTTGCAGGTGAGCAGCCAGGAGCCACGACGCGGGAGGGGAAAAGCCTGCACGGATGAACACTTAACTCTTGCACATTGCACACTCTCTGGAAAAAGGCCTGAAAGGTATGTCTGCCCCTCACAGGCAAATGCCTTAATCACCAGTTTAGAGAGTCGTGCCTGTGCTCTCTGGAGGCCAGTGAGTGTTTAATTGTGCCACAGAGAGCTGAGTGATTGCTCATGGAGAACGACTTTGTTAGCAAGATGAATTTAGCCCTATATTTTGAAATTTTCCGCAGACTTCTGCTGCTGCAGTACCCACGTACGATTCTGGGTCTCAAACACACTGACAGATGCAAACTCTCTCCCAGCCTAGGTCTGTTTCATTCATTTAACTTGCAAGTCTTTTAGGGTGAGAACATCCAGAATTGTGCTGCAAGCAGGACACACTGCAGTGGGGTCCTGATGCTGGGTAAGGCCTCTGGATATTAATGGAATAACAGTAAACAACTATATCCTTAGCTATCACTGAGCCCAAAAGGACGCTGAGAACTAATAGGTCACGAAGGGGAAATATTTGGAAGCGTGGAGTGAACATGGATATAAGATGAAAAAGATTCTCACCACAAAGGGCAGGAAAAGCACAGCATTTCCCTGCATCTCCCTGCTCTTCTGTAGCTCTGCGACAGGCAGAGGTAGCCATGCTGCTTGTGAAGAAGGTTTGTGGTCTTAAAGGTAAGCTACACCGCCAGTTTAAAATGCCAGTTCTGTGTGTGGCACGGGAAGTGTAACAATTCTTGGGGAAAAGGGGAAAAATGAGCTGAAGGTAAATTTCTCCTCTTGTTTCCCCACGTATAAAGTGGAGGTTATGCTCCCTATTAGCTTCAGCAAGCAACACTGAAATTCTTTGGCATCTTAAGATAGAACGTGCCTATTTTTGAAATTCAACATTTGTACTTTTTCTTAAATTGGACAAATCTCTTTTAAAACACGGAACTGACTTGTCAGAAAGATTTCTGATGGTCTCTGCCTTTTTCTTAGTGCTTTTGCAGTGAATAGCTATGATTTATTTTTTTGCAAAATACAGACTATTTCACTGAAAATTTCGAGGAGAAAAATCATTTCTACTTAGCAGGAGCATTAAAGCCCTTGAATTGGGCCACATTCTGCTGCCAGTGCAGTTTCGGGGACACTTGGAAAATATTCTGAACAGCAGGGAGGAACAGCGATTACCCCCTCAGTCTCTCAATGGTGTGAATATTGTGGGTTATTTTCCCTTTGACTGTTTATGGCCTATTTACAGTATAATCACACCAAATCAGGTTATAACATGGCTTTCTTTTTTCGTTTCAGTGAAAACAGAATTCAGCATAATTTTTTTTTATTTACTGTAGCTCCCCCTAAAAGCTAAAGAATTTTCAGGCACTAAGCAAGTATGATCTGTTCTCCAAGGCATTCATAACTGAAGGAGAGACAAGGAGAAAGGTGACTGGGAAAAATAATAGGCAAGTTATTTACATTTTCTACACACTTGCAATAGCTATATTGTTGTAAACATGGCCAAAAAATGGAATTATAAAGTGGACTTAATTGTGGATAGAAGAGAGATTTGCCACAGAGATGAGGTATTATTTTAGTGTGTAACCATCATCAGACAAAGCTGTAGACACATGTACAAGGTCAGTTCAGTGAAATAATATTCTTTTCACCCCACACATATGAGGCAGTGGCACTGTGTAATTGGATTAGAGGAAAACAGTTGTCATAGAATCATAGAACGGTTTGAGTTGAAAAGGACCATAAACATCATCTAGTTTCAAACCCCCTGCCGTGGGCAGGGACACCTTCCACTAGACCACATCGCTCAGAGCCCCATCCAGCCTGACCTTGAACACTTCCAGTGGTGGGGAATCCACAACCTCTCTGGGCAACCTGTGCCAGGGCCTCACCACCCTCACAGCAAAGAATTCCTTCCTAATACCTGAAGTAAATCTACCCTCTTTCATTTTAAAATGGTTACCCCAACTTCTATCACTGCATTCCCTGATAAACAGTAACACCTTTTTTATTATTATTAATTTTTTTTATTTTTGTTTGTCTGAGACCCTGGCCTTTCCGTGACTGTTCACTCAACTCCTGCTTAGTTTTTTGCTAACTCAGCTCATGCTGAGGCCTGATATGTGCTGGGAGCAGTGTCATCAGGTCAAAGCCAGAGCACCAGATAGGCAGGAGAGGTGGCCATGAAGGCTAAAGGGCCTTTATGCAGCCACAGTCACCTGCAAAGTGCTGCCTCCTGCAGCTCTCACCCTTTGGTGGTTCCCTGTAAAACTGAGACATCCAAACAGACTGTGACATTTTATTGGCGTCACAAGTGGGATCTCCCCTGGACATGCTCTGCTGGCAAGCACAAAGTGCTTTGCTGTGCCTGCCAAAGCAGCTGGTTTGGTGTGAGTGTAAAGACACTGCCTCTGTGTGTCTGTTTGTCTGTGCCACGAAAAAACAGACACTGAGTGGAAACAACTG